TTCAGTAATTTAGAAAGAATTATGGCTCCAATTACCATCCTTCTGTAACTAACGGGAAAGTCAAAGTAATTGATAAGTGGTTATAATACGAAATAAAAATGCAAATGAACAAGTAATTACAGCGAATTAGAACATCATGACATGCAACCTCTAATGAAGGTAGAAAAATGGAAACGAGAAAATTTCTTGATTGATCAATATTACATGGATGTGGGTCAGAAATATCACATTTATGATTTTTGAAATGTTTTAAGAACCGTGCACGTACCAGAGATTGATAATATATACGAGATATAAATGTTGACCTTTCACATAAACATCAATTTTCTCATGAGAAATATTCCTATATACAGATTGACCCTAAAACATATTTTACATTTTTTAAGCTCTAGGTAATCGAAAAAAAAATATGATCAGTTTTATTGATACTTAGTATTTTATTACAAACATAAAAAATGAAGCAGTTATATTTGTGGCCCGACCCCCGACCTGAAAAACTATTCATCATTGTCAATTGCACAAACTTCTGTGAAATATTTTTATTTCTTCTGTGATATGTCCTAGTTAGTTCGTTAGTTAGTTAGTCAGTTAGTTAGTTGGTTAGTTAGTTGATTAGTTAGTTGGTTAGTTAGATAGTTAGTTAGTTGGTTGGTTAGTTAGTTAGTAATACTAGGTAGTGGAGAATTATTATGTGTATGTTATGTTTTGTCATATAATTATTATTTGTCAGTTGATATAAAAATAAAGAGTTTGGCAAAGAAATAATTTGTATATAACACTCTGTATGCAAGAAACAGAAACGCGAGATGCGAGATGAAATTTAGTAAATTAGGTATATCTCTACTTTCTCAACTAAGTAGATATTTGGGAAATATATACGAGTACTTGTAATTTGTAGTTTGCCGCAGTAAGTAGATAAATACTCTAATAATTTTGCTCTTAGAATTAGACATTTATCAATAAATGTGATTGACAATTGTACAGGATTAAAACTGGATCAAAATATTCTTAATTAAAATTGCAATAATAATAATAATAATATACAAAATATGGGTTATATGAGGGGGGCTCGCTTAGTCGTTAGAGTGTGGAACTGTCTATCTATGAGGTTCGAATCACACGAGGTTTGAGGTTTTTTTTGTTGTAAGTAAATAAATAAATATAAGGCCTTCCAGTCATATTGTCCTCCATTTCTAGGGTAGGTATAGGGTTCTAAATTATAACGGTGATGTTTCTAAAGTGGCATTGAGAAACAATTATAAATTCTAGAGACAACACAAAAATAATAATACAAAATTATTATTTATAATTTTGTATACTACTTGCATTTTAATGACATTAGGATACAAATTTTCATTAAGATTATAGCCAATAGAAATGCACCGCTTCACAGTAATATTTTTGGTCAATATCAAATATTACCGTGAGTATCTGCAGGCCCGACGAGAGGGGAGTGGCCAGGACAAATTCCCGGGGCCCGGGCACAAGGGGGGCCCGGCAGGTTTAGCTGACATTTTATTTTTTTAGAAGTTCGTCACAAAAGGGAGGACCACCTGGTTCTTTTTAGATTTCACTAAGAAAGGATCTGATTTTGCTTGAGGACCTTTTTTTTAGAAATGCAACATAGAAAGGACTTGATTAAAAATGCCCCGGGACCCACCATGGCTCTCGGCGGCCCTGAGCATCTGACGGTCTAAGATGTATCACTTTTACGAATATAGCAAATTAAAAGAATTTGCGTTTTTCCATCAACATCAACAACTACATCCATTAATATTGTTTTAAAACTACCAGAAATACCGCACTTGCATTTTAATAACTGGAAATATTAGGTGCTCTGCTAGCTTGACAACACCACTTTATAGTGTTTTCCTTTAATAAAAATGAGCCGTTACGTTAAAGTTGGACTTAAGTGGCCATATTGTTGCTCCAACCCTTTGATTTAATGCTTCAAGAAGATATTTAATATTTATTTTTTTTTAAATCATTTAAATAGAAGATATATAAAAATTAGATAATCGTTCCTAATTTAAAAGTTAGCTTGAACTTCCAAATTAATATTTATAAAGCTTGTGACCTGCGATTTAGGGATTTATTAAGATTTGACAATATCTGCGATTTTGGGCTATTCCAGCTGTTGAGCTCTGCGACTTACGTCCATATTTATCTGGCAACCCTGCTTCGATTTTCTCTTACTATACGGAGAATGGTCGCACTGCACAACTTTCTGAGTGCCTTTTAAAAGGAAATAGAAAACTCCGCCATTTTGAACACTTATTACTTATTGACGCAATAGTTTTTGTGCTTGTTATAATATTTACCCAAAGTCATTCCACAAAGATATTATTTACAAACCTACACTTTACAAAACCATTAACAGATAATAAATATCTTGAAAACCTTGCTTTACTTGGTGATTTTATGTTAAATCTTTCCATTTGTGAGTAACAGTAACTACTTTAATTATGTTTCTATTGTTGTAATCTAAATGCTTTTTATTTTTCAGATCTCCTAGGAATTTCGAGCATTTAACTTGATCAGTTTTTACAAACTATGAATCAAATTATTTAGAAATTATTTTTAGCTAAACTCTGTTGTATGTAGGTTCTCAGCATTTTGAGGAAAATGCTTATTGCTTTTATGTAAAAAAGTATGTGATCAGTCATGAAACAATTCTTTGTAGAAAGCAAATACCAAGAAAATTAAAGCATTTACTTCAATAGATAGGAGTAGTATTAAAATCAATCAATCGAAATAATATAAATAAATATGTAAGTAATATTGATTAATTTTTGGAACATTTATATTATAATAATTGTTTTTATTTATTTCAGGTTTACTACCTCTGGCTCATCTACACACCTGAAAGTAGAGGTAGCCCACAGCCTCACTAAGAAAATAGCCCCCCTCTGCTAAATTAGTTTATCTGGAACAGTTAGAAAATGACCTGTAATATTTAATTTTTTTATTTGGTACAGTAAACTGTGTAACAATTTCGGATAAATGGAAATTTCTGAGAAGCAAAAATACCACTGATCCAGGTACATTGATTTTGTACGTAGATATGCACAGGAATCATAAAGTAATAAAAACGTCTTTTAGAGCCACCATATGTCGACGTCATTTTTACAATATTAAGTCGACGGACTAAGAAAAGCCCTTCTATTGGCCTGACAAAATCGGTAGTGACAGACCTAATTAAAGAACATTCCCTTGTGAAATTCAAGGAAAGATGGGATGAAACAAGAAACTGCAGACTTGCCAGGGAGCTCTTAAGTTATCCTGACAACACTGCAGCAAATAAATACTATGACTAGACAGAATCTGCGCCTGGTCACAGGCTTCTGACTGGTCATTGCCAAGTACGGAAGCATCTCCATATCATGGGGCTGTCAGAATCCGCACTCTGCAGAGGGTGCAAACAAGAAGATGAGACCATCGAGCATATCCTTTACGATTGCTCGACGCTCTCATTTAATAGAAGATTTGTCTTCGGCGAGTATCGGCTAACACCGGCCGATATAAGAGAAGCACCTCTTGGCGGCGTTGTCAACTTCATTAAATCTGTAAGCTGGCTCACGAGCTAGGATGTGCCTATCATCTTAGGAGGATGCACAATGGGCCTAATGAGGCCTAAGTGCTGTGGGGGTAACCCACCCTCCACACGTTACAGATACAGAAGAAAAGCATAGCTAGACCATTGATTGCTATAGAAGCAGAAAGTAGGGAGATATTCAAGAGTTTTGAAAATGTACACTAGCAATCTAATGTTAATACCATTAACAAACTTGTATAATCTTTAAAAAGAGAATATTGATGGGGGTGGCGGCAGTAATACCCATAGGGGTACTTACAACTACATATAACTAATTTAAGCTTTTTTAATCTCACATTTCTTTGTTTTTATTTTATAGTTTTGTGCCATATTTACAGCTGAAAAAATGCAAAATATAATATTAGATTGTTTAGCCTCAAAGATTTTTATTATATTACAAAAATAAAAAGTTTGTTTATGGGCATGGGACTGGCGAAAAATATAATATTAAGGTAAAATCATATGCACAGCTTTAGAAATAATTTAAAACCACTCACCTCTATTTCAAGATGCACTCGCAATTATAACTTTACTTCAAAGAAGTTTCTTTTATATTATTTAAAATAAATAAACGTTTCTTCTACATTTGTTGCCTTTATTTATAATCTTAAATTATCAAGATGTAGGCTACCAGTTTAACATTTTAGAAAAATATGTTGCCACACATAGTAGTAATTGCATCAAAATGGCCGCGCCCTATGTTGGACGTCTCTCTTGCTCTGTACATAGATCAATGAAGTGGAGAGGGGTAGAATGATAACTGTCAATGAAAAAGTCTGGACACTATGCACAATTTCGTTTTGCACATTTTGTAAACAAAATTCAGGGACGGTTTAACAACATTTTGTGCAACAATTATAAAATAGTGCATCGAAAAATAATTAACAAGTATAATTTAATACTAAATCGGAATAAAAGCATAAAAAATCATAAATATAAGTAAGATAACAAAGAATTGACGCCAAAAAAGCTTACAACAGCCAAAACACAAACAAAAAACAGAGCTGAACATAAACATAATCGCTGAATAAAGTCGATCCTGGAATTTGTTTACAGTGCTTTAGGGCAACCTCTCCTTGTCATTTACGTGTGTAAGAGTGGAAGGCTGAATCACGCATAATTTCTACACTCGTGATGGATGCGCAGACGGTACCTTATCGTTCTACCCTCTCTACTTCTTTGACATAGATCTATATGGCACCGTATAGTAATCAACCAAAGAGCTTGAAATATAGCTCTTTGTAATCAAGATATGTGCATTTAAACCACAAAATTGTGTGGATGTAACGATATTTTCAGAAGGGCGTAGCTCAAAGCTACACTTTCGATCCAAAGGAAAAAACTTTCTATTATAAATGATGGGCTGAATAGCCATAGCAGCTGAGGCCTCAAAATTTAAAAAGAAGAAAAATAAGTTTCTTCTAACCTCGTTAAAATTTAAATTACCTTTGAAGTTTTGAAAATGTATAATTCTTAGTTTTTTAATTTGTACAACTCTAAGATGAATAAATAAAACTAAATTAATTCTCAAAATGTCAACTTCAGATCCACTTATATGCCTTCCGGGCCAACGACTATGTCTTTCTGACAAAACCTACACTTCTGGACAAGGAACGTACGAGAGACAAGGTTACATTTATTCCCAGCTCGCGGGGTATGTAGATATAGTTGATAAAGACAGTGTAAAAGTAGTAGAAGTACATACGAGTGGAGAAAAAACCGTAATTCCAGCACAAGGTGACATTGTAACAGCTAAAGTTTCGGTAATTACCCAACAATATGCCAAATGTTTTATTACATCTGTTGGTGATACTGTGTTACGACGACCATTTAGGGCTGTTCTTCGCACAGAAGATATTCGAGCAACAGAGAAAGACAAAGTTGAAGTTTATAAAAGCGTACGACCTGGTGATATAATTTTAGCAAGAGTGGTAAATATTACTTTAATGTACAACTAATTTAAGCACTATTACAAGTGTTAACACAAATTGGGGAGCTGATATTTACTTTTTTTAGTTACCTATCACGGAGGCCCACAACTACCAATTATCAACAGCAGAAAATGAACTAGGCGTTGTCATAGCACATTCTGAACATGGACATCCTATGGTGCCAATCAGTTGGACAGAGATGCAGTGTACAAAGACATTTGTAAAGGAGCCTCGCAAAGTAGCTAAGGTTGTTCCGGAACATTTTAATCAAGATAATCTAGCTGCTTAATTTTGAATAAATTAACTAAAAATGTTATTGCTTGTACTTTTATGTTATTTAAAAAATTGTCACTTTGCATCTTTACTTTTATTTGTGCTCAATCTAACTATTTAAATCATTTGTTATTATTCATCAATGTCCCCTCGGATTTTTGATCTCTTTTTCTTGATCACATACAGCCAAGATCTTCTCATTGGCCATTGTTCTACAATCAAGTACATTTGCCAGCTCATTTTATTATTACCTATAATCAGAGCTGGCAAAGTACTTATAAGTGGCTTTACAAAGTACTCATATGTATTTTTATGAATAATACTCAAAACAAAAGAGTATTTTTATGAATAATACTCAAAACAAATGAGTATTTTTGCATATTTTAAAGAATACTGTAACCACCCACCTCCCTGCTGCTTCTTAATTATGTATTTAAAAGCCTGTATTTATTTATACCTTTTATGCAATTCAAAGTAATTCATACTTACTGTACTTGGCCTTTTTCCTCCAGTGATCATCTAGTTAATTAATTAATAATTTATATACCCTCATTGTGATAATGTTAATTAAGATAAACTAGGATGCGATGCAAAGTTTGGTACAAATTTGTGAATGAAACAAAACTCAAATTGTTATTTAACTTATTTATTTTATACTCAAATAAAATATCAATACCATTACTTAAATTGGGGAATGAGAAATTATATTTCTCACCGAGACCTCCGTGTCCTGTCCATTAGATATATACTGTTGAAGAATTCTTGAGTTACAGCAGACATCCTCAGAGTTGCACTATTTTTAATAATTATTTGCTTTGTCCTTCCTTGTTTTATATAGGTGCGCTTACTGAGATACAGTCGTTGCAATAACAGATGAATATCCCTTATGTTTTAGCCTCACCTAGGGGGGTTATGTAGTGTAGTTCTACTAGAATAGAGCCGGTTCAATACCAGCGAACTACCTCTTACGTTCAGATCTACCTACGGTGCAAAGATTGAGAGATAATTATTTAAGATAGTCCAACCCTGCAGAAACATTAAGCATATTTGTGTAAGATGTGAGTTTAGCCGTCCAAAGTGTCATTTACCCCAGTCAGCCCAGACAGCACGCCAAATCATTTGGATATCTACTAAACATCCCAATATCCATTGAATGCCCAGTCCATGGTGGATATATATTTTATATCCATGAGATGTAATTTATAGATATGCAAATGTCCATAAATAATAGTAATTATATAACAAATTATTAAAAAATTACGTCATTGTGGCTAATAGTACCATTTAGATATTTCAAATTAAATTTGTTTTAAGGTGTATTCAATATCCCATGGACATCCACTAAATATATCAAAGTCAAGGCGCGAACTCAAACCATGGTGGATATCCACTAGATGTAATTTTTGATTTTGCCCACTAAGAAGAAAGTCATTCTTGGACCGGTTTCGTCCTTATTAGGATTAGAATTATTCCTTTTTTTAAGAATAGCCCGCCTGGCTTTTATTCCACCTAGTCTCTGAACTAGGTACTACAGCGACCTTTGATTTTGCTTACTAAGTATAGATGGCGATACCACTTTCGCTCGTTGAATATCTACTCATGCTCAACCCGCCGTAATTGAGTTCGATCGAAATTGGTATTGCAATCAGACTCCATTAGAGACTGGAGTTGAGAATTTCTATTTATTGCTGAAGAGTCCTAATAAGGATGACTTTCTCCTTAGTGGGCAAAATCAAAGGCCAGATTGTTGAAAATATTTCCTCTCTGCTATTTTCTTCTGACGTTATTCAATAATCATTGGTTACTTATGAACCTCTACTAAACATACCCATAAAATGTTTTGCTGAATATCCATAGAATATATTCTATATCCTGCCATATAGACGGACATTTGGATATCCATATTAGATCCACTGCATATATTGAATATCCACAAAATATATTCTGTGGACATCTCTGGGACTTCTTGTATTGTCTGGGAGATGCGCATTAGATATTTTGCTGGATATCCATAGGATATTTCTGATATCCACAAAAGATATTCTGTGGATATCTCTGTTATTTGGTGTGTTGTCTGGGAGCTGATAGTAACTACTAGCGAGGGTGGATTGGTACTTCGATAGACCAAATTCTTAAATAGTTTTAGACGGCAAATGCATACTGGGACGTGTCTATCTAGCGGCCCAAATGTGACATTAATGAACAATACATTTCTATAATGAATAATACAATAATAAACTTCTTTTAAATTATTTACTCACCATGTCTTTTGTTAAAGCACATCTTTGGAACGGACATGGTTTGTAGAAAAATATATAAGCTGAGGACCTTTTTTACCGAAGCCCCTGTCAGCATCGTAGTCCTTTATTCGCTTTTCAAAAAGGTGGCAACCCTAGATTTATTCCAAAATTTAACATTATTAAAATAAAATTATTGGATTACAGAAATTCGTTGCAACACACTCAAAAAGTAATAAGTAATACTATTAATTTCTTGATAATGTAACAAAAAAACATCTCAATGCTCGCCGCGAACCTCTTGGAAACATGCTAATCTGAAATAAAAATGTTTTCTAACGTTACTCAACATCTCAGGCCTGACCGATCTAATCGCAAGCATTATTCGTCTTCTTACGTCAGCTAGGTCGAAAGGTTTAGTTTTGTATACAATACTTTTGACATATCCCCATAAGAAAAAGTCTAATGTCAGATCAGGCGATCATGCTGGCCATTCCATCGATCCTCGCCTCCCTATCCACTGATTTGATCTGCCATCTGGACAGTTTTCAAGGCAAAATGCATATTGCATCTGTATTTGGTGCGCATGGAGACCTTTTTCTCTCTAAAAATTTGAAGTCGCATCGATCTTCAAAATTTTGAGCTATCGTGATATTTGTATATTAAACCATTTTGTAGAGTTCAACAAGAAAAGTTCAATGCACAAACCACATATTCATAGCTCAAACGGTTGCCTAAATATTTAATTTTCAAAATTATTGAATTCTGTAATAAAAATTATCCCAAATTGGAGCCAAAATCCCATTCTGTCCTTACTGATATTACTACCGTAATTTTACTGTACACAAACGTTATACATGGACGTACTAATTTGCCTGCTTGCACTGAATGTGATCAATATCATGCAATACTCGCTTGTAGGAATCGTGACGTAATTCCGAAAATTTTTCAACATGAATGGACAGAAAATTTCGTTACAGAAAAACAGGCAGACAACACGTACTTAGCTTCTCGTTAGTATATAAATTGCAAAATTACCTCCATGAAATAAAGAAAATTGTTTTTAAACCCCCAAAATTAAAACAAATTTTTATTAATTCATTTTGTTTAAAAAACATTTTAAAGCAGGATACAAAAAATTACAGAGGTATGATACTTATCTGACGAAATCTCGAGTTCACGCATGATGTATTGTGGTGTGGAAAATGATTATCTGATTGGCCATGAGCAGATTAAAATTTATTTTCGCACGCCGTTTTTAAACATCTGATATCCCAAATTCGTAAGACCATGCCTTCTACTACAATACGTGACGTATAGTATCAATCTGCGTAATATCATACATTTCTTTTAAATTATCATGATTTTAAACCAATTTGACAGTTAAAAAACACTGACAAGCAACAATTAGGCATTCCAACGACCTGTCCAAATGGCTACCAGTGGGTAATGACAGTTTAGATATGGCAACCCTGTTGTCATGCTGTCATTAACAGGGTCAATTATACATATATAGTTATATAGATTGCTCAAAGCTGGTCGTTTACGAGCGGCCATATTGCCTGGAAAATATTTATTAATTTGAATCGGTTTAGCAAAAATGTGTTTTAAAACCAATTTTTAGCCTTTAGATATTTAAAAAAAAAAATAATTGCTTACATTTTTACTTCAAGGCATAAGCTTATGTTTATTTTGAAAAATATGGATGATCAATCTATGTAACTATCTATTTCATTGACCTTGTCAAATCACCAGGCCTACAGGGTTGCCATAATTTTGCCATATCATAACCCGTCAAAACCCACTGGTAGCCATTCAGTTTGGAATGCCTAATAGTTCAAAATGATGTAAGATCCATAGTTGTTTTAACCATAATCTTTGTAAGAAAAATAATATATAGCGACATCTTTGTAAGAAAAATAACCTGGATGCAACTACGAACACCACTTCCAGTATCCCTATGGTTCAAGTGTGGCGGTGGTACTGCACTCTTCAAAGCTTATTATGCCATCATTTGTGAACCTTACTGTTCAGTTAGTTTAATATTTCATTAAAAACACAAAATACGCTTGATTGAGAATAGCTTTATTTAAGTAAATATACACAGAAAAGTTTTATGTCCTAGAATGATAAGGTAGAACTATGCTATATTCATTTATTACACTTAATAAGTAATAATGGTACAATGAATAAATATTAAAATTACATTTCGTCTAAAGAGAAAATCTTTAATAATTACTGGATAACATTGCTCAATAACGAATAAATACCTATATGCAAATACGAATAAGACATAAAATCAGTGATACCCTAGCCATTTAAAAAAACATCGATAAAACGAAAATATTTTAAATTTTTACATAATTTCAAAAAGACATTTCAATAAAATATCACAGAAATACCTAAGCTATGATCACAAAAAAAGGAGAATGTGATTCCTCGGTAAAAAAATACAACTATTGTATTGTCAGGCGAGCCATTTTTGACCAGTCCGTTCCTGATCTAATCGCTTGAGTCCCATTCTGCCTCATTTTTTCCATTATCAAGAATATTCGATAAAATAAGCAAAATTCCAAAACCACCATGAGACGCTAATGATCGTCATCGTTAGTCGAAGTGAACTGTCTATTCTAGAATATACTGGATCCGTCGAAAAATGCTGATGAAACAGCATTTCTGGTGGAGATGTCTAAAAAATTGAGTGATTTACAAGTGAAGTGAGTTGCTTCTGGAACTAGAAGACATTTAAAATAACAGGAAGGAAACCAGAATTGGCAGAGCGACTTAAACAAGCAATATAATGGGATGATGCATCTTCTGCTATTTCTTCTGAATGATTTCTATAAAT